AGAATTCAAAAGAGAAAAATGTGGGAGCAGCCCGTCCATCCTGCTCCTCACTGGTCTGTGTGAGGCCGTGGCCATGTCTCCACTGCTGGGTCAGCAGCCCCTCTGCAGGTGCTGTGGGCTCTGATGTCCCTAAGCGTGCCCAGATTGCTGGCCACCTGCAAGTGTTTAGGTCTCGCTGAGTTTCTGAGGCTGGCTTTGAACTTGTGCTCCTCCTGCCCCAGCCCCGTGTTGCTCTGTGTCAGTGTTGGTCTCTTTGTTTCCTTCTTGTTGTTTGCTCCTGTGCTTTGCCAGAGTGTGTCCTCAGTAACTGCCAGCAAAGGGTACGTGGAAGACACCTTATCCTTAGGTAGCCTAGATGCCTTAATCCTGTCTTCACTGGACAGATGTGAGATGGCCCTAGAATTGTGGGATGGAAATTATGTGCCCTCAGATTCTGGACTGTTCTGTGCACCGTCTCCTAGTAGCTTTGCCTCTGCTGAGAAGCCTGCCATTCTGATTCTCTCCTGTGCCGTTTGTGATCTGCTGAACAAGTTTGCACTGTGGGTACCGTGCCAGGAGTGCACGGGCACAACTCCTCCCATCATGGAGCTGACACCACAGAGAACACAGACAGATGACACAGATGAACACTTTTTTCTCATTTTTACTTTCTCTGGGACACATGGTCCAAAAACCTTTAATGGAAAATTCCAGAAATAATCCCTGTGTTTTAAGTAGCACACCATTCTGCATTGCAAGATGAAACCATGGCCCTTTCCCTTTCTCTGCTTCCCACCAAGGATGTGAGCCCCCTTTGCCCATTGTGTCCAGTGCTACCCTCCCGGCAGTGATTTGACAGCCGCCTCAGTTACCAGATCTCTGTCATGGTGTCACAGATCCTGTGTGCAGACAACTCTTAGGAGATGGTCTAATGCTGCGTCCTGATGCTAGGGTCCTGGCCTCGCTTACCTCTCCTCACAGGCTGCATCCTCTCACACCCCAAGAAGGCTGAGCACGAGCAGCGCGGGGCAGTGAGTGACAGGGCCGGTCAGAGCCTCCCCTGCAGCGCAGTGTTGGGGTCTCTGTCTCACTGTGGATTTCTGCGTTAATCTCCCGCTGCGCCTGCTTTACAAGTCGAGCTCTGTCGCAGGTGTGAATGTACAGGAATGAAGAGTCCACATAGAGTTTGGCACTGTCTGTAGTGTCAGGCGTCCCTGGGGTCCTGGCACATGTCCCTGCAGAAAAGGGACTGCTGTGAGACTGAGCACAGTGGAGCGGGTGGTTACAGCAGGTCAGGCAGTCCCTTTGTGATCAGAGGCGGCCTAAAGAAGTCCAGAGCATGGGGCTGGGGCTGGGGCTCAGAGGCAGGGCGCTCGCCTGGCATGCCTGAGGTACTGGGTTCGAGCCTCAGCACCACATAAAGTTATTGTATCCACCTATAATTAAAAAATAAATATTAAAAAAAAGTCCAGAGCAAGCTGGCGAGGTGGTTCTCATGGAAGCCTGAGAGGAGTTGGGGGTCAGGGGAGACAGAGAAGGAAGATAGGACTGCATGAGAGGGCCACCCAGACGAGGAACAGGCTTGCTGTGGTTGAAAGGAAACAGTGGCCGAGGAGTGACCCGCCTCCGTCAGCTCTGGGCTGTGCAGTAGGAGGGCGGAGCTGCAAGTGGGGGCATCAGCCTTGGGTCTGTGAAATCATGGAGCCCAAGCTAAGTGGATGCATGGCATTTCTGGGCAGGAGCTGCGGGAGAGGGTGTGGAGACAAACCTGAGACAGGTAGGAGTGCCAAGTGGGCGGCCACACACCAAGGCCCTCCAGCTGGAGATGGATTTCGCAGTCAAAGAGTGTGGCATTTAAAGCCATTGAACTCAAGATGCTCGGGACGTGTATGAATAGGTGATTCAGATCCAGGAAAGGAGGCTGAGATGCAGGAGACAGGGACAGGCTTCGGGTGGGTCAGAGCACCGTGCACAGCTGTGGGTTCCTGGGCGTGGGCAGTGAGCTGCCACATGTCTGCTGCCTCCAAGGAGAGATGCTCAGTGGTGCTACGTGAGCAGCTATGCAGTGCTGCCTTCCTGGTGCCTGTTCACTAATGAAAGGTGTTTTCCTCCGTAGAACTCAGAGGCTGAGCTCAGAGTTTTTGCAAAAAGCCCATCAAGGGGCATTGGGAGGTCATGGGGCAGGCTTCTCTGGCCTCGCCTAGGGAAGACATGCGACGAGCACTCCTGTGTGCACTGCGCCTTGAGCAGCTTGTTCCTCTCACTGTGCTTCCTTTAGAAAATACGGCACTTGCTGGAATTTCTCTCTTGGGTCCATTGGAGTAGGTTTTTGCAGTTCTCATGAAGCAGCTTAGTTTGGCGCTTACCTGTGGTCCCAGCACTTGGGAGGCTGTAGAGGGAGAGCCCTGCAGTTCCAGGCCTGGGTAACAGTGTGAGGCCACGGACCTCAGTTGTGGATCTGAGGTTTGTTCTTTCCTTGGTCTGGACCAGCACCTCTCAAGCTGTGGTGTCACTCAGGAGACTGGCTGTGGGGGACCCTGGGCCCTAGCTCAGCTGGTGGCTAGGGAGGGGCTTGTGAGCAGCCCTGCTGCTGCAGGCCATGGCCAGGAAGCCTCTGGAACAAGGGCCACACCTCACTCGCTGCTGGTCTGCAGGGAACATCATTCCAGTGTGCCTGGAGCAGTACTTTGAGCCAGCCAGGCTGTGTACAGAGCGTGCACGCTGCTGAGGTCTCGTCGTCTCCACTCCGGGCAAGACGTGCCCAGCCACCACAGGGTGTATACAGAGGTGTCTGGAAAGGATACCTGTTGGCCCTGTGCCTGTGCCAAAGACAGAGGAAGCAGGGCAACCTGGGGCTGGGCGCCAGGGCAGGGCCAGGCCTCTAGGGAGGGCACTCGGGGCTTCAACCATCCCGCTTCCCTAAAACCTTCCCGTTGCTCACAGTCCGTGAATTGAGAACCGGGGAGCAGCACCCAGGGTGGTGTGAAGAAAGTGTCACATTACAGTGGCCTGTGCTCTGCTGCCTCCCCCACTTGCCACCCTCTCCCCGCGCACGTCCTGCCCACCTTCATAGCAGGTGGTTACAGTGCTGCTGGGGAGAGCCGAAGGATGTGGGTGAGAAGTTGCGGGTGGTGTGGACTGTCCCTCCTCTGTGTGAGTCTCTCTCGGGGTTGCAGGTGTCCTAGGCAGGCTTTAGCGTGGGGATCAGGCCTTGGGTTTCTCTTAGAAGTGCGCAGCCTGGGGTCCATCCCGACTGCTCCCCTAAACAGCCCTCACCCTTCTGCAGGCCTGCTGCACTGTCTAAGCTGTGTGCAGTCTTCACTGCACCTTCGGAGGTCTGAGGTTGGTGGGTCTCTGAGTCACACGAGCCTGCCTTGTCGTGAGCACTGCTGTGTTTAATGCCTTGTTCAGTTGGCACACTGCGAGGTTCCGGAAGCTCACGCAGACTGATGGCATGGTGGTTCTCAAGGCGTGGTGCTTGGTTTGAAGCACAGTACTCACTTTGCCATGGAGGAGTGCAGCAGGCTAGAGCTTGTGACTCTGCTTCCTGGGAGCTAAGTCCCAGCCACTGTTTGCCCTTGGGCTTCAGGGGTCTTACTTGTGGCTACAGTTGAAAACAAACCTGGGCTTTAGCTGGAGACTGGCCAGGACAGAACCTTGTGTTTCATCCTTCCCCGAGATGAGCAAGGCCTGGGATCTAGCAGGAGCATCTGACTCACCCTCCTTGCTCAGGGCGCCTGTGCTGGAGGACTCCCTGCTTAGCTTTGACAGTGTTTGAACCATGTATCACCAACACATGCTGTGTGCTCAGAGCTAGAGCTTCAGAGATGGTAGAGACAAGGTCTCTGCCCTCACAGGTGCCCACGGAACAGTGCCTAGGCGCCACCAGCCCCTCCTTGTTCATGTGGTCTTGTCTGTTCTGTCTCCAGAGATGACGCAAATGCTCTGTGTGGCATTGGTATGACGTGCTCGTTGAGACCACACACCCTATTCTGAAATTTTAGATAGTGCCTTTCTTGTGTACAGTGGTTGGTGTGTAGCACTGAGCCAGAGAGGGACATTTTGGAGTTTGTTTGTGTCTACTTAATAAAAAGTGAGTCCTTCGTGGTTGGGAGCTGTTGGTAGTACCAGGGTGCTTCAGAGCAGACAGACACTGTGCCTGTGCCAAGGTGGAGGGAAGAGCAGAGCCTGGGTGCTGGCGGGGCCAGGCCTGCAGGGGAGAGAGTGCCCTGGGGGCGTCATCTTGCCAGCCTGGGGTGGAAAGCCTTTGCTCATGACTGGGGACTTCAATGCCCCTCTGCAGTGTGGCAGCCACGGTCATACTGAAGTTCTGCGAACTTGTCTTACCATGTTGCTATTTAAAGTGAAAATCAAAATCACTTCATTGGAAAAAATCTGTATGCCATCTTCTAATGAAGGAGAAATTAAACCTGTATATAGAGAACCCTTTTTTATCTGCTGTAGGATTAGGACTAGACTCTCAGCTATATCATTGAGTCTTCTTGGTTTCTGCTGGTTTTGAATATTTTCTAAAATTAGGTGTTTTAGCCTGCAGGGCTCTTCATGGCTAGCACAATGGCCTACAGTCCCATGGGTGTGAGCCTTTGTGCGGAGGAAGCTGTTGTGCATCTGTGGATGATAGGGAGGCCCAGGAGCAGTCCCAGGGCCGTTGACCTGAATGAATGGCAGTGCCCCATCACGGGGTGCAGGGGTGATGGAGGTGTCAGCTTGCAGACAGGACTGTTTCCAGTGTGAACAGTTAAGTGGAAAAGAGACTCTCCTGAGAATGTGGAGTTGGTGTCAGAACAGGGCAGACCAGCTGGGCAGGCCCCTAGGAAAGGCCACCAGTTGCTGCCAGCGGGAATTTTTCCTGGGCTGCACAGTGCGCAGCTGGGGCGTCCTCATGCCTGCTTACCTTCCCCTGGTGGCGGGGGTCTGCTATCACCTGGCCAGTGCCGTGAGAGGAGGGGCAGAGGGTGCTCCTGGCCCCCCTCCCGGCCTCACCCCACACGTCTTTGCAGCACCCGTGGCGGCCATGTACTATAGCTACTACATGTTACCCGACGGAACCTACTGCCTGGCACCACCCCCTCCAGGGATCGACGTGGCCACTTACTATAGCACCCTTCCTGCTGGGGTGACTGTGTCCAGCTCTCCCAGTGTGACGACAGCTGCCCCGCCGCCTCCTGGGACCACACCACCACCTCCCCCAACCACAACTGAAGCGAGCAGCGGCACCTCCTCCACCACCACAAGGTACATGCACCTCCCACTCCGTTCTCAGTTTGGGCCCTGGTCTGGATTAAGCCTCTGGATTTGAATAGTCATTACTCAGACCCCAAAGTTGCAAAGTTGAAGATGCCGTGAAGTAAAAGTTCTTAAAAAGCTGAGTGTGGTGCTGCTTGCCTGTCATCTCAGTGGTTTAGAAGCTGAGGTGAGAGGATCCAAGTTCCAGGCTAGCCCTGTCTCAAAGTTAAGAAGGTGCCTCATGGTGAAGGCTGACCACAGGCACTCGTGGCTTGTGCAGCATCCCACCCACCTCTTACCCAGAGTCTGCCCTGTACCAGGCAGGTCCCTCTGGGAGCGGCAACTGTTTGTAGACTGTGCAGGTTCAAGAGGTTGGTGATGCGGCCCTGGGGCACACCCTGAGGCCCTCGCAAGCCATGTTACTGTGGCTTTCTAGGGAGGCCCCCTAGTAGCTTGTAAGGGTGCTTGGGCTCCAGGCAGCACCTACATATTTCTGTAGAGTGGCCCTGTTCCTGTCCTCTTGAGGAGGTCGAGTGGGAGGTGAAAGGTCGAGTCGAGTCGTGCTAGCAACAAAAAGGCAGCATGTGATGTACTCTTGGTTGTTGCTAGAGTTAGCTCCTCATCGAAGGGAAGCCTTAATTAAGAAGAAAATGAAACCTGTTTCTGTCGCTCTGTGTCTGGCTCCCCAGTGAGCTCCTTGTCGCCAAAGACCATGGTACTTGGTCGTGATGTGAGAGCACTGGCTTTGTTGGTTGGAGAACACAGCATCTTCAGAGCAAGGGCCCTCAGCGTGTATTCTCTGTAACACCTGTATTTATTGCGCCCCTTGCGAGACCCAGACCAAGAGGACCTTCAGCCACCAGTGCTGGCCCAGTGCAGCCGCTGGGGAATGTGTGACTTACCGGGCCTTTCTCCACAGTGCACTTGCTCCCGTGGCCGCCATCATCCCCCCACCCCCCGACATTCAGCCTGTGATTGACAAGCTGGCGGAGTACGTCGCTAGGAATGGCCTTAAATTTGAGACCAGCGTTCGTGCCAAGAATGACCAGAGGTGAGAGGTACAGTTTTAAGCATCGGGCTGCAGCTCATCAATGGAACTCTGGCCTAGCATGCCCGAGACCTGGCTTCCATCTTCGGCATCAGAAAAGAAAGGAATTCTAAGCAAATTCGGTGCATGGGATTTGGGGTTTTCATTTAGGTCTTTTAAAAATCCAGCCATGTAGTTTCCCGTTTTCTTGGCTCAGTGTCTTTGGATAGACTTTTTTTCTTGGCTTGTCAAATTACTGAGTTACTTAAAGTGGGTGAAATGTCTGTGCCACCTGAGGTGAAAGGCTGGGTTCCCTCTGCTGGGGGGCCTGCCCTGGGGTCTAGACAGGAGCCTTTCCATAAAATCCAGTCTCGTCCCTTGGCCTCCAGTGGTGGAACCTGAGCCATGTGCCCGCATGGTAGTGCCTATGCTGCGGGCTCTTTCGCGTGTGGCATGGATGGGATACCCGTGGGAGTTGGTCACATCCAGCAGCAGGAGGCCGCAGCTCACACAGGTTCTCAGAGAGGCTGCTGCGGTGTGTTGAGTGGCCTGTGTTTGTTCTCTTCACAGATTTGAGTTCCTGCAGCCATGGCACCAGTACAATGCCTACTATGAGTTTAAGAAGCAGTTCTTCCTCCAGAAAGAAGGCGGTGAAGGCACACAGGTGCGTGTCCCGAATGACAAGAGCGTGAAGCCCGCGTGGGGCTGCAGAAGTCGGTCCCTACGTGCTTGCTGTCCCGTGCTGGTCAGCTGTGTGTCTCCTGTGCTGCCACCACTCAGCTCTCCGTGGGCCTGTGTCCAACACGTGCCAAACAAAAGCCCCTGCTTCCTTGCCCTGTGGCCTTGGGTGGTGCTACTTCTGCCTGCTCAGGTGGAAGTGTGCACGGGCACTTGAGCTGCGTGGCTTGCGCGTGAGCCTGTGAAACAGAATCGCCTGCCCAGAGCTAGCACAGGGCCCACGCGGCCCGCCCTCCTCACAGAGCCCCCTGCTGTCGTCCTCACTGCCTTGCTGTCCTCCCGCCTTCTGCAGATTCCTCTCAGCCTTTATCTCAGGTTGCTCACAGGAAAGAACGCTGGCTTCCCAGCAGGCCCTGGGGAAAGTGGGGTTCTGACAGGACAGGTGCCACAGCCCAGTCCATGAGACAGAGCAGCACCCTGCCACGTGCACTGGGGGAGCTCCTTCCACTCCTCTTCAGCCTACTGTGCCAGAAAGTAGCGAGTACAAATTTGAAATCTAAAAATGTGACTGTGTGATGTCCCTCACGTTCTGACAGATGTCATGTGGTTTCCATGTAATGGTGTGTGGTGATGTCACTCTCCCCAGGCTGTGGCAGCCCCAGAAGAGGCCCCTGCAGAATCCGCTCCTGAAAAGCCAGGCGAGACCGGGGAGGTTGGCGTGCCTGAGGACACAGGCGAGGCAGGGGGACGAAGCTCAGGCGGGAAGAAGGAAGCTTCGTCCAGTAAGAGCGCTGCGGACGGGAAGCTGGTAAAAGGTGCGCTGCTGCGGCTGCTCGCAGGCCCCGCTGAGCTGCAGGAGAGCCTCTTGGCCTGGAACGCAGGCCAGGGTGGGGCTTGCTGGGTTGTGTTCTCCTGGCTGGGCGTTTGGAGTCCTGTGAACCATGAGTTAGTCCTGGGGATTCATTTGCTTAACAGCCTGTTTGGAGCAATTCAGAGGAAATGTTTATGAATTATTAAATAATGTGTCATCCCCCTCAGACTTCTGAAATTATATTTGCTTGCAAACCATTGCACCGAGAAACCCCTTTTCTTTCCTGGTCAAAGCAGCCCTCTGAGTACCTCTGCCAGGCAGCACGATGCGCTCTTGCTTTTAGTCACCTTGCTCTCTCCCTGGAGCCTTTGGTCCAACAGTACACACATGCGTGTGAGTGGCTGGTGCTGTGGAGACCAGGAGAGAGCTGGAGCAGGCTGCCTAGAGCCCCGCGTAGCAGAAGTGGGGAGGCAGCTGTTCCCCTGATGAGTATCGAGAGGATCCGTTCACAATGGTGCTGCTGTGGGATGTGCTGGCCGCCTGCTGTCCCAATGAAGAGTGTCTGAGTGACTCCAGCATCCAGGGACAAAGACAGGGTCTGGAGTGGGACAGCCAGCTCGTTGCTTTGCCCCTCCCATGAGGCCCCGGGCCTGCTGGGGGATGGCCTCATCCTTCAGTGGCTTCCCAAGGAGATGCAGGCAGAGGCATCCTTGGAGGCTGTGAGAGACCGTGGCCTGGAGCACAGCTATGCAGAGGCAGGCGCAGTGACAGCAGTTCCTAGTGGGGAGGAGGGTGGGCAGTGCAGTGGGGAGCGGGTGGTGGTCATTCAGGGTAACCCAGTTGTCCCAAGGAAGCTCACGTGTGTTTAGTCCCTTGCCCATTGTGGCCACCTTCAACTCTCCTTGGAATAACCAAACACGTAGACTGCTGGGTAGTGGCGGCCACTGCTCCAGAAACCAGGGTGGAATGCTGTCCCCGGATCGGAAGCCACCTTCCTAGGGTGTGGTTTGTAGGGAAGGAAAGGACACGCTGGGACTTGAGCAGTGGTTTTGGGGAAGCCTTTGTTAATGAAGAGGGTGGGCGGGAGGCTTGGACAAGTTGGGGACACCCAAGACCTGGCCTGTCCACCCCAGTGTAGCTCCCACACTTGCCGCCCACCTGCAGGCTTCCTTTCTACCCCCAGCTCAGTCCTGGACAACACAGGCCCCCTGTGAGGCTGGGGACGGAAAGCTGCAGCTTGCTGAGGCGCTGTTGGGTCTCTGAAACGGACCCCCACCCCTGTGACAGAAGAGATGTCAACGTCTCTGCTTTGTACTCCTTGAAAATATCAAGCTAGTGCACCTGATGATCTCACGTCTGTAAGATGGCTTGGAAATAAACTGCCACGTCTTAATGTGAAGAAGTCATCAAGGACCAGGCTGGGTGAGAAAACACCTTTAGGTTTTCTGAGAAATCTCAAAGGAAAGAAACAGAAGAGGCATCCAGGTAGAAGAGCAGGTGGGCTGTTCTCCGAGGGGGGACAGGTCAGCGCGTCACACTTGGTACCGTTGCATGTGGGCAGTTGAAGCAGATCTGAAGAGCCCATAAAGCGGTCCGAGTGCTAGAGCAGAATGACTGGGGCGCTGAGCACTTGGCGTCATAGGACCACGAAAGTAAGGACAAGAAGAACATTGCTCTGTTCACAGCCTGCTCTGTCTGTGCTGGCAAACCAAAAATAAAGCAAGCACCGAACTCAAGGGCCTTGGAAGCAGGCTGGGGCTCAGGAGGGGGAGTGCTGTGTCTGCAGGGCCCTGGGTGGTCCCAGCACCAGGACGGAGGAAGCGCCTGCACGGCAGTGGGCGCAAATTAGAGAACAATGAGAAAAGCCCGTGGGAGACACCAGCAGCACGTAGTCACTGCTCTCAGTGGAGGGAGGAGCAGATGCACCCGGACGAAAGGAAGACGTCGGTGTCTTTGAGAACACAGCATAGTGTATGCGACCTAGGATTTGAGTAAATTTGAAATCACTGAGAACCATTTTCAATAAAAGCATAAATTTCTAAAATCATGTCAAGAAATGAAGGAAACTGACATAGATGTGTCTGCCTAAAAGAATAGTTGAACTAGTGGTGGGTGAGCTGCCCCTAGAAGTAGGCAGCAAGCAGGCCAGGACAAGTTAAAGGCCCGTATGATTCCCCTCAGGAAGCAGATGCCTGCATCAGGAGAGCTGCTCCCGAGCACCCAGGAAGACAGGTACCGCAGGCGCTCGGGCGCAATAGTTATCCTCCATGGCCACCGCAAGCATAGGTGCTGCTGTGGTGCAGGGGGCCTGTCCCAGGAGCCCAAGGTGGTGCCGCATCTGCCCCCTGCTATGGGTGTCCTGTCAATAGGGCAGGCTTCCCGGTCGTATCTCATGATACTGAGAGCATGCTCTGGAAGCATGGTTCAGCAGTAATCCAGCTGGGAAAGCAGGCTGTACACCCACAAAGAAGTCAAATCAGATCACGGTGCCTCCAACAGTAGTGGTTCCATTTCAGTCCAGCAGTTAGGGGTAGGAGGTAAAATTGAGGAGAGGAAAGTACAGGTGATGCTTTGATGATCTTGGGGTGGGAAAGGGTTTCTAAGATTGAAGCCATGAACCACAAGGAGGGTCAGTGGGTCTCATGGGGGCTGGGCCTGAGGAGAGTCAAGACCGTGTCAAAATGGTGGTGGTTGGGCACTGGGCTGGGCTCAGCGGTAGAGCGCTTGCCTTGCACGTGGGAGGCACTGGGTTTGATCCTCAGCACCACATAAGATAGATAAACAAAGTAAAGGTATTGTGTCCAACTATAACTAAAAATATATATATGTGAAAATTTTTAAATGGTGGTCATTGTTAATTAAAGGATCAATGTCTTTACCATGGAAAGAGCTCTTACAAATCAATAAGGAAGGTATCAGTGCAGTAGAAAAATGGACAAAGGACATTTTTAAGAAAAGATAGTTCAGAAAAGAAGAAAGCGAGGTAGCTAATAGATTTTTTTTATTCTCTTAAAAAGGCACTGGCTTTGGCCTCTCAAAGTGGTAGTTTCAAAGTATTCCCAAGGCGTGGTGGTGAGCCTGGATACTCTGGGGGCCGAGGCAGAGGACTGTTTGGGACCAGCCTGGGCAGCAAAATTTAAAAAATAAAATCTCAAAAGCAGTTGGAGATCGTTAAGTCAGCTGGTGCATCCACACCACGAAGCTCTAGCCTGTTGAGGTGGGAGCTCACACGTGTGTGCAGGGACGTTGCTGGGGCACTGGAGCCCGCCAGGTGTGCAGGTGTGTGGGCAGGGATGGCACCCAGTGCGTGTCCTGTTGTTTCCCACACCTGCCTGAGCTGCAGTTGGACTTGCCTCTGTTCACTTGGCTCTCCCCACGCCCCAGAGAACCCCGGCTGCCTCTGGGCCGCAGTTTGGCATGACAGCTGATGCCTGGAGCAGAAGCCCTGTGGTACAGGAAGTGGAGGCTCCCTGGGCCCCGCTCTGCCTGCTGCCTTGGCCTGCCCTGGGGCTTGCTCCACTTCAGCTGGGGCAGCAGGGCCTGCCTGGGAAGCACTGTGGCGGGCCCACTTGCACAGGTCCTGACACTGTGGAGGAGCGGGTTTGGTGTGTGACGTGGTGCCCTGCTATTCCTTGGGGCTGTCAGGAGAGCTTCCATCTGCTATGATCTGTAGAGTCCTAGGCAGAAGCAGCCTCCCTGTGACTGAGCGAGCCCAGGTCTGATTCTCTCATGTGGGAACTGGGAGCCCCGTCCTCCCCCAGGGTGTCAGCCTTGGTGAGAGAGGCAAGGATGGAGGCTACGGGGTGGAAGGAAGTCTCTTGCCCCACTGTGCCTGGCTGTGGCCCTGCCTGTGAACCGTGCTGAAAGGCAGCTCCAGGGCTTTCATCCTAATGGTCTCTTTGCTGATTGCTGCCTCTTCTAGCTTGAGGGAAGAGGTGGCAGGGCAGAATTGTCTTAAAGTCCTTTTGTGTGTATCCTAGTCTGCTTGAGTGATTTCATTAATTAACGCTTAATGTGCATGCTTTTTTTCCCCTCCCCTTTTAAAATGCCCCTGGATTCTTTGTTCCTTAGAGAGGTTGCGTTCCCACAGGCAATAAAGGGTGTGCTTTGTTAACTTTGTTTCAAGTGCATCCGGAGAGAGGGGCCAGAGGGGTGAGACCTTGCATTGGGCCCCAGGCCACATCTTAGATTCCACTCCAGAGGACTTTCCCCGCAGATGATGCACACATCTCTCTAAAAGAGGAGGGCTGTTTTAAACATAGCCACACCACAGTAAGATGGTGGCATTGCCTATCCCCACAGAGCCTGGGTTCAATGCCCTGTGGTGCCCCAGTTGCCAGGCGTCAGGAATGGAGACAGACACCACATGGCCCAGGAGGCAGCCTCCCTTCTGTGGCTTTTCCAGTGTGGCATGGGAAACCCGGTCCCTCAGCATTGGGCCAGGATGACTGCTTACCGTGGCTGTGTGTCGCAGAGCCAGGCAGCACAGCTCAGTGTTCATTGTCCTCACGCCACACATGAGTGTGGGCCAAGTGAGACTCACGGAAGCCCCTTGCTGTGGCTTACCTGTGTCCCTCATAGGCAGTATCTTACTGCAGCTTGAGCTATTGGTGAGCTGTTTGTAACCCATTCTGGCCTTGTCTCAAGGAGGCGGAACTCAGTGCTCCCCCGGCAGGTGGGGACTGGGACCACGCTCTCTTGTTGAGCTTGTGTTTCTCTTGTTTTCCCATATTCTAGGGAAAGGGCATCACCTGGACTCTTGTTTTGCCTGGCTTGAACTTCCTTGTAGGGGCAGAGCCTGGGCTGACGTGGTACCCAGCAAAACGGTGGCTGAGTAAATGAATGAGTTCTGTGACTGTTGCTCTGTGAGAACAGTGTCTTACAGCTGGGATTTTTGAAAGATGATCCTTGCCTAGTGGAGTCGCATCTTATGCCTGCTTGTGCAGATTGTTACATGCTGAGCCAGGAAAAAAATTTTAAAGAAAAATGATTTGATCATTTAAAATGGCAAGTGACCCTGAACTGGTGCTCAGCAGGAGCGTCCCTGCTGTGGCCCTAGCTGACCTCTGTGCAGCGTAGGCCCCATCAGTCCTGACTTACCTGTGAGTCCAGTGTGAGCTGCCCCTATTGAACATGGCTTGGGAGCGCAGAGGTGTCATACAGCACCCTTGGGCCCTGAGACGGCCCTTGCGCCCACAGAGCCCTGCATACGATGTGGCTCCACTGCAGATGCTACCTCCCACCCACCGACGCCTAAGTAAGTGTTAGGGCCGGGATGGTTCAGCTCTGCGCACTGGCTCCCTAAAAATGTGTCCACTTCTCACCTTCTCTCAATAGCTTCATTTGCTCCAATAAGCTTTGCAATCAAGGCCAAAGAAAATGATCTACTTCCCTTGGAAAAAAACCGAGTTAAGCTAGATGATGACAGTGACGATGATGATGAAGAAAGCAAAGAAGGCCAAGAAAGTGCTAGTAGTGCCGCCAACGCTAGCCCGGCCGCAGCCCCGCCTTGTGTAGTTGTCGAGGAAAAGAAGCCCCCGCTTACCCAGGAGGAGCTAGAAGCAAAGCAAGGTTTGTCGATAGCTTTAAAGTTCTCAAAAGAAAGAAAAGACATAAGTATAAGATTTGTCTGCTAAGCCAGAAATTCCAAGGCTGCCACCTGGACCCCCAACCACGGGGTTGGCGTAGCACATCTGAGTGTTTGAACACCCTCTGGAGCAGGCGCTCTGCTCCTCCGTAGCTTTGGATACAGTGCCCTTGGCGGTGTGCTCAGAGCAGTCTGGTGCACCAAGTAGATGGTGCTAATGGAGGCCCACTTTGTGCATTGACAGCAGCCCCAGGGTGATGTGCTTGGCCTGGACTCCCAGCCCAAATTAACACACCAAGCTGGGAGCTGCCTTTTGTGAGGCTGTCTCAGCAGAACCATCGCCCTTGAAGATGATGCACTTTGGAGCCAATTTCTCAGCTCCGGCTCATCTTCATGGGTTACAGCGTGGCCCCTGCATACCTGACACGTGACCAGCAGCATTTAGGGGATCTCCTATAAATCTTCCTGCCCTTACTCCCAAATAAATGACGTTCTGCATAAAAGTAGTTAAATAGCGTCTATATTTGTGGTCTCTGTCTGTTCTGACTGGCTCTCTTGAGTTGCCTTTTCTGTGAACACAAACAGGTCAGGCCACCCCCGACAGGTAGCTCTTTGGCCACAGCAGGCCTCCTGTCAGGAGCTGGCACCATACTGCAGCTGCCAACCCCAGCAGCTGTGCTTGGTCTGTACGTCCAAACCTGCACCTCCTGCACATGAGCTCAACAGGTGTTGGGTCACGTGGAGCAAGGCTTTTCAGAGAGTGTCCCATCTGCAAGGGTTGTTAATGGTTGCACTGAGCCAGAGCCATCTTGGAGCTCCTGCTGGTTTGGAACCCACCAGCCTGCCAACTTTGAAAGCAGAGTGCCCCTCCTCAAAACAAGCTACTGTGATTTGCCCGCCCTGTCTGCCGATTCTGAAATCGGTGTCATCATCATAGCTGCATTGTGTGGGAGTTAAGACAGATACTGCTTGTTCTAGACTCTTTTTTTTTCTCTGCCATTCCTTTAGCAAAGCAGAAGCTGGAGGACCGCCTTGCTGCTGCTGCCCGGGAGAAACTGGCCCAGGCATCCAAGGAGTCGAAGGAGAAGCAGCTTCAGGCAGAACGTAAAAGGAAAGCAGCCTTATTTTTGCAAACTTTAAAAAATCCTCTGCCAGAAGCAGAAGTTGGAAAGATTGAGGAGAGTCCTTTCAGTGTAGAGGTATGTTGAAGAAAGTCTGCGTTGGTGTTCTTGGGGAGTTTGGTAGGTGAAATCATATGAGCACGGGCTCTCCCAGCTCTGCAGTGTCCAACCAGAGGGAGGTGCTGGCAGCCCAGCTCCTGCCTCCTGTGAGGCTGGGCCTCAGTCATGAGCCTACTGGCGGCCCTGAGTGCACATGTGCCGTCCACCCCAGGTGCTGTCTGATGTTCTGCTCTTGGCCACCTTGCGGGCTGGCCAACAGGAGGGCTTTGTGGAGGTTGCACGGGGTCTGTGGTGGGAGGTGGTCTGACTCGTAACTGAAGCAGAGTCTTAACCGCATCAGGCACATTGCGAGCTTGTGCTGGGGCAGGGAGTCCACACCAGGGCGTGCGCTGGGCTAAGGCCCAGAGGTGGATGTGCTCCCGGCCCAGGTTCCATAGCCAGCACCACAGGGGGAAAGTTGTGTGAGCACGGACAGCTGCTTTTCAAGTAGTGTGGCCAGGGACTCAGCCCCAGCAAGGATGTGACATGGTGCTTAGGAGCCTCCCCTACAGAAGGAGCTTGGAGCAGCACTTGGACCAGGGACCTCCATACCCTGACGACTTCAGCAGCGGCCATAGCATTCAGCGAGAGATCTGCTCTTTTCCTAGATGCATTGATTTAGAATCATTTAAATTGTGATTTTTCAGTCAGTCGCTTGGTGATTGGGGAGCCTTCTCGTGGTGTGAGGGGTCCAATCAGGGCAAATGCTTTACCACCGAGCCATACCCAGCTCCAAGTCTTGTCTTTCAGATGCTTTATAGCAGTCCCACCTGAGTCTTGTTTGGTATTTACATCGTATTTCAAGGGTGTCTGAGAATAGGACAGGGGTGCAGCTCAGTGGCAGAGCCCCTGGGTTCGGTCCTCAGCACCATTTTGGCATGAGCTCCTTGAGGGGTGTTGTCCTCTGCCTTCCTCAGAGTTCTCCATAGACTGGCCTGTACCCGCGGGTCCCTGGCTCTGGTGAGGGAACAGTAGGCACCTGAAGGCTGTCAGGCAGCAACTGACGCTGAGGTACTTCTGGTGCTCTCCGAGGAGAAGCAGGCGGTGCGGCATCTGCACTTCCTGGTGAGTTGAGCTGGTGCAGGCAGCAGGAGGGAGAAGCCCAAGAGAACCGGGAGCTGCTCCCATGGCAGGGCTGCGGGGGGCTGGTTTAAAATGGGGCCTGTGTTCCCGTCGGTGTGCTAAAGGGAAGAGTTCCCGAGGGACATTTGCAGGCAGAGACTTGGGCCAGTTGTGTTGTACTCGAGCCCCAGAATGCTCCAGGGCATGGTGTCCTAGTGGGAACGCAGTCACAGCTGCCAGAAGTGTCCCTTCCCCGCAGCGTGTCCTATACGGGGCCTTTTGTCTTCCTGTGTTCATCTTGGTTTGGGCTGTGCTTCGTGGAAGTGATTTGAGTGTCCAGATCTTTGGGTGGCTCTTCCTGGACAGGCATCCTTCAGCTCACAGCCACTGAACCTTTTCAGCATAGATGCAGTGGTAGCTGCAGATGGTAATGGCTGTCTCAGTAGCCCTGAAGCAGAGGTACTTGTAATTAAATTGGCAGTTGTCATGAGCAAGAATCAAGCTCAAAGATACTTTTAGCCTGGGGCTGGGGATGGAGCTTAGTTGGTAGAGCACTTGCCTCGAATGCCCAAGGCCCTGGGTTCAAGTCCTAGCTTGTGTGTGTATTTAGCCCAAGCCGAGCATTGTGGCACACACCTATAATCCAAGTGACTCAGGAGGCCAAGGCAGGAGCATCACAACTTCAAGTCCAGCCTGAGCAACTTAGCCAGACCTTGTCTCAAAAAAATACAAAGAGTTGGTTGCGTAGCTCAGTGGCCAAGCACTCCCACTTCCATCCCCAGAACCACAAAAGGGTGAACCAGGAACGTGGCTGGTGTGAGCACTTGCTGGCTCCATCCCCACGGTTGCAGATAGTAAATGTATGTGTTTAGAGCCCAGGGGACTTGAGACACAGGACCAGGTGTGGCCACTGGTACCCCTAGGTGAGGCAGTGTGAGGCACCGCCAAATGGCCATAGCTGTGGCCAGCTGAGCAGGCACTGAGTGCAAGAGGACCCTGCCAGGAGGGGAGGACACGCTCCGAAGGCCGGGCACACGGCCTGGCTGCAGTGCTCCTGCCTTGTCTTCAGGCTCCCTGGAGCAGCCCTGGTACTGCTCACGTGTTTTAAGGACAAGCACTCTCCTGTGTTTAGTGTGCTGTAGGCTGTGTTGGTCTGGGCTCTGTGGTTGAGCACCCCCTGGGTTCAGTCCCTGGTATCAAAAAAAAATTTTTAAAGAAAAAAAAGTGCCCTTATTGAATATCATTTGGGATGCTGTCTTGCAGTGTGCACGTTGGCCTAGACTGGTGTCGACAGGACACTGGTACCCACAAGCCTGTGCGTGGACTGCCTTTGTTCTTGGTGTGTGCCTGTGTTCTTAAAACAAAGACAGGGGTCGTGGATGCCCACCCTTCTGGATTACTACTAGTCAGTCACTAGTCGTGAACATTTTAGGGCTTTTTGGATTCTAGTAATTCTTTTTAAGCTGTTAGTCCTGTCGAATAAAACTCGGAAAGGAAATGGTGATAGAAGTCAACCTGTTTGCGAGCCTGTGGGCTCCAGGGTCTGAGGCTGTGGGCATGTGAACCAGGACTGTCTGTGGACCAGCGGCCGTGCTGTCCCGTGTACTCAGCCAGCAGTGGGGGGGTGGGGGCTGGTGGTGGTGAGCCTGGGCCTCTGGCCAGCTGCCCAGGGGTGAAGTACTTGGGCAAAGCTGGAAGGGGTGGCAGTGGCCAACAGTTTGTGGGGCACCCAACATGCTGAGCACACATGGCAGCCAAGAGCAGCCTAGCCACGCCTGCCCGTGGAGTGGGTAGGGTGGTGGGAGGTGCAGGAGGCAGGCAGTGTGGGTCCAGGAGCACCCAGTGTGGTTTGTCAGCCTGTGGGGCGTGGGCAGTGGGTGTTCCGTGTTCATAAGTGATTTATGCAGGAGTCCTCCATGATTCCTCCAGGTCTTGCTTAACACCTGCCCCACCCTGTGTCCGGTCATAATTTGGGCTTTGGTCTTTTTTTTTTTTTTTTTTTTTTTTTGAGAGAGAGAGAGAGATTTTTTTTTTAATATTTATTTTTTAGTTTTCGGTGGACACAACATCTTTATTTTTATATGGTGCTGAGGATCGAACCCAGCGCCCCATGCATGCCAGGCAAGCACCACTTAAGCCACATCCCCAGCCCAACTTTGATTATTTTTGCTGGAGTGTTAAAATCCTTTCTGAAAGGGCAGCTTTAGTTCCTGGGAGACCCTTGAAGAGTCAGTGCTGCAGCTGCTAACCTTGCCTCTGTGGCCTTGGGCAGCTTCTGCCTGCCACTCTCCATAGGCTGGGCCAGGCACCCTCAGACCCCAAGCAGCAGCAGTGCTGGCACTGGGTTGGAGTGTGGTCCAGACTTAGATAGTGACCACTTAATTTTACTCCAGTTGCTCATATGTGTAGTTGGCAGGGGAGCGGGGATGGAGGTTGTCTGTTGTTTTTCCATACTGTGGTTGAACCCTGGGTGCTCTTCCATGGAGCTAAGTCCCCAGCCCTTTTTTTCACTTTTTACTGTGAGACAGGGTCTTATTAAGTTGCTAAGACTGGCTTGGAACTTGTGGTCCTCCCAACTTAGCCTCTCCAGTCACTGAGATTACATCTGTACACTACCACCCAGTTAAGAGTAGTTTCGGTTAAGACAACTGGGAATCCGGAATCCTTAAACAAGGCAGTGTAAATGTTAAACGGTGTAAGTTGTCATTGACGTTGACAGTTATTTTTGGGTGTACACTACAGTATGGGGTTCCTAGACACACTGACTGATTTGATTAACATCAAGTAGAGTGAGGATTCCGTCCTTTGTGTTGGCTAGCCACGTCTGGTACGCGGTGGCCTCGTGTGTTGAATGCGGTGCCTATGGTTGCGCTCACCAAGGACGAACCGGCTTTTGCAGCAAAGCCTAGAAGGAGCAGCTAACTAGGTGTTGATTCGGCCTTGATGTTTCTCTACAGTTTTCAAGCCCACCAGTGCCTGTGGTCCCAGCTACTTGGGAGGCTGAGGCTAGAGGATCATTTGAGCCCAGAACTTGGAAATCAGCCTGGACAACACAGAATGACTTGTCTCAAAAAAAAAAAAAAAGAATCCCGACAGTTGTGAACTCTTGATCGTAGAGTTGGACCTGGCTGTAATAGCACATCAGCGCCTATCTGCATCCCCCAGCCACTTACGCAGACACAGCTCTGCTCTCCTGCCGGTGGCGAGGGCTACCGAGAGGCCACCGTGGCTGCCTGTTTCCACCTTAACAGGGAAGGACAACCATCTCTTTAGAATAAGTAGACCCTCAGCTAGGCCGCAGCTCGCATCGTGAAGGTCTCGTTTCAGACCAGCCCCTCCCTTCAGTGGAGCCGCAGCCTCAGTGGGACAGAGGTTGGCAGGCTGCGGTCAAGCAGCTCGTGCCCCTGCCCTACCCACCTGGTGTGAGGGCAGAGGGTGAGGAGTGACGTGCTTCACTCTGGGAAGCCCCATCCGTCCTTTCAGAATGGCCTTTGGCACATGTTAGTAGGCTCTAGGAAGCCTCGGGTGCCGTCAGGGTTAGTGGGGGCTCGCACATCTCATGCAGGGTGCACTCCTTGCGCTCTGAGACTGCTGGCCTTTCTGAAGGGCACAGAGCTGATTTTTCTGGCAGTCCGGCATCCGCGAGCTGTCCCACACCCAGCCTGCCTCCCCCCCTTGCTCACCTTGAGAGGTACTGCGCTCCGCCTGTTCACCATGCTGTGCCTCTGCACACGGGGACACAGGTGAAGCTGCAAAGCGGCTGCCTGTGATTTAAAACATCATTTATTAGTGTGTGTGCAGTGGAATGTTTACATATTAAACTCTTGTAACAGTGAGATAGTTTTATACTAAACCTGAAAAAAATATTATTCTAATAGAATTTGAGTGAGAAAGACCTTTTTGACAAGAACTGGCCCACGTTGAAATGGGTTCCCTTGAGAAATGGTCCCTGGAGATATTAGGAAATTCCTTAATATCTGGGCATGGTGGCCACTCCATGATCCCAGAGAAGGAGGCTGAGGCAAGAAGCTTATAGGTTCCCAAGCCAGCCTCAGAGACTTAGAAAGAGTCTGTCTCAAAATGAAAAACTGGGGATGTAGCCGAGTGGTGGGGCACCCTGGGTCCCTCCCCAGAACAAAAAAAAAAAAAAAAATAGCAAACCTGGTAGAGGTAGGAGAGGGAAAATACTGGGGAGTGAAATTGATCAGATTATCATGTTCATGTGCCTGTCTGAATGTAGCATGATGAACCCCACTAATGTGCTCCAACGACAAACAAATCTAAGAGAAATAAGCCTGCACATAAACATAGACGCGGAAGCCACCTTGCAGATGGGGGTGCGGGGCCATCTGAAGCCTGCACTCCACAGCTCCGGTGACTGAGTTCCTTTAATGAGAACGGACTGTGGATAACAGCTCCCTGGGACTCCAGCCCATGTGCTGCCACTGCTGCCTTGGGAGCCTCTGCTTAGTGTGCAGGCGTGTAGAGATGCACACCGGGTGTAGGCAGCAGGGAGGCTGGAGGGTCTCACATCTTGAAGCAGCCAGCTCCAGTGGCCGTTGGATCCTAGACAGCTACCTGCCCCACAGAGCACCCCTGACTGGCTCCTCCTCTCAGAGCTGCAATGAGAAGCAAGCTCTGGAAGTGGCCTGTGAGAGGCCCACCCATCTGCCCTTGTCAGGTGGTCTCCAGGGAGGACAGCCACTCACCAGGCAGATTCCCAAATGCCAAGCCAGCTGCTGACAGTGCCTCTGTTGAGGGCCCCTGTGGTGTCCGGGGACACGTTCCACAAGCCTCACAGTAGAATTCCAAGTGAGAAGTTTTTAGAGGCTTCAACATTTGGTCAGAATCTGCTTCCAGCTGAGCTGTGGCCTGAAAGTGCAGCTGCCCCTCTGGGGAGGCAGCTGCCCTACATCTGGGTGCCGTGCTCCTACTGTGAGGCTCCCTGCAGTGCAGTGAGACTTGTGCACCCTGGAGCATGCCTCTGTCACCCAAAGTTTTCCTGCACTCCAAGAGGTACCTCCTCCTCTGGTTAAGACTTGCAAAAAAGTTGCATTCGGATTTATGAAAACCCTCGTATTGGAGATTTACAGAATCTGTTTTAGTGGAAAGTCATTGAATAGCAAATACAGAATTTTTAACATAGTGAACTTCAATACTGTGGTGGGGAGTTACTGTGCAGGAAGAGCCTCTGGAGTCCGTGTGCCCTTTCGGTATAAGGTGTGTGCTGTGGTCCTCCTGAGGGCAGGGCTCTCAGAGAGGCAGTACTTCCTGAGAGTGCAAGGCATCTGCGTGTGAGGGACCCAAAGCTGCTCTTGTGTGGTCTGTGTTCTAAAACATCCTGTTGTCCCGTTTGCTTCTGTTCCTAGGAAGCCAGTGCTGTGCCCTGTCCTGTACTGACTGGAGGCAGACCTCTGCCTACTTTAGAAGTGAAGCCACCAGAAAGGCCTTCAAGCAAAAGCAGAGATCCACCGAGAGAAGAAGAAAGAGAAAAGAAAAAGAAAAAGCACAAAAAACGGTCTCGAACTAGGTCACGCTCTCCCAAGTACCATGCATCTTCCAAGTCCAGGTCTAGGTCACACTCAAAAGCCAAGCACGCGCTTCCCAGTGCCTACCGGACAGTGCGGCGGTCAAGGTGGGTGTGCGGGGCAGTGCCCAAAGCCCTCCTGTCTGTGGATCCTCCTCCTGCTGGTGCCAGTAGAGCTGGGCAGAAAGCTTAGCTGCAGCCCCATGTGCCTGGGCAGATGTGCATGTGGGTGTCTGTGTCCTGCAGATAAGTCCTTCAACCAGGCGTGGTGGCCACACCTGGGATCCCAGTGGCTCAGGAGGCTAAGGCCGGAGGACAGCAGGTTCTACTCCAGCCTCAGCAACCTTAGCAGCATCCTGTCTAAAAAAATTAAAAAGTTGGGGGTGTGGCTCAGTGGTTAAGCGACCGCAAGTTCAATTCTCAGTATAAAAAATTAAATAAAGACTAAAATAAGTAAATAAGACAGGCCAAGATGTGGCTTCGTGGTGGAACACTTGCCAAGCATGCATGAGGCCCTGGGTTGAGTGCCCAGCACCAAAAAAGATCACCAACTACTACCAAGCAAAAAAAAAAAGACGAAGAAAGGGAAAAGTGAAAGCTTTATTTAAATTGTAACAGGTCAGGAAAGCAGGCCTGGCATGGTGCTGAGTGTGAGAAGGTTCGCAGGGTGGCATGGGTCTCCTGTTGGTATGAAAGTCCCTTCCTGGTTTATTTTGAGCGTACAAATTTCAGTACAGAAGAAATCTCTGCTGCTTGGTTCATGCTTGGACGAGGCAGGAGTATAAATTTGTCTTCTCATTTAATCCCTCTGCTGTCCCAGCATCCCACTGTTGAACAGAGCCTTCTTCAGGATCCGGTTCTGAGAAGGCAGTAAACACTGGGGCCAGCGCCTGCCAGGGCCTCAGAGCTTACTGCCTGGTAAAACCTCTTAAAATGAGGTACAGCTGTGGCTAGCTTGCCAGAGGCTCAGGCATGGCCCATCCCTAGGGCTCATGCCTTTGGATCTGTCACATTTTTTCTCACACAGCTCTCACATTGCGGGTGCCTGGTGTTTCTTTTTGGAATCGCTGTCACCTCTCCCATAGGAAAAATGCAGATGCCCTGCACTCTTAACTGTTGAAAACCATATGCCCATTTGCCTCTGTGCTGTGTCCCTGCCCAGGACAGTCCTGGAGGCCTGGCGGCCTATGTGTGCCTGTCTGTGTTGACCTGGACCTGCCTTCCTGACAGGTGGACCTGATCATCTACTTCCTGTCATTACACCCGGCAAAAAAAAAAAAAAAAAAAAATCTTGTTATTTTTTGATTAAATTAACAGCCCTGCTAACATGCTTTTGATATATTTTTTTTAAGCCCCAGGAATTCTGAAATTTAAAAAATTGAATAAGTTCCTTTTGCCATTACGGAACTGAAAATATACGCCAGAGTTGACCAGGCCCCACTGCAGCACATGCAGGGATTTCTTCCCGGTTTCCTTCCCCTCTGGCTCGGACAAGCAAAAACAATTCATTGTGATCCCTGCTCGGGGGCCACTGATGAAGGTCCCGTGCCCATCTGAGCTACGGGCTCTTCCCTGGCTCCACAAGTGGTGTGGGTGAAGCACCTGGTACCCAGGGCTGCACATGCCCTGCCTGCCTAGCTTGGTGGGGTTCCTTGGCCTCAGGCTGTGCCCAGGTGGGTGCTCATGACCAAGAGCGCCACCCAGCACAGGCGCTGTAGGGCTGTGGGTCTGTGTCCTTATCATGGACTGAGTGCTAACACGGTAACTTGGGGATTACTTGATCTTCCTTAATGTGTTTACGTCTTAGATAAGAGGTGGGCAAGTGGCCGTTTCCTCATTATGCTTTCTGTCTGATGGTAGGCTGCCAGTTTCAGTCAAGGAAAAGAACAGCTTTATCATTATCATAAAGTACATGTGACAATATCGTGAAACAAAGCCTTCCAGTGAGCTCTGTGCCCAGAGCTGGCACCTGCCGAGTGTCTCTCGGTAACTGCCTCTCCTGCCTGGCAGTCCGGGCGCCCCCCTGGACCCTCACACCTGGACCCTGCCTCGTCTCTTCCTTCAGAAGATAGTGGCATGTTCCAGGGGCAGATCTGCTGGCTCCACCTGAGCCCTGCCAGCACTCGCCATTCCTGGAGCCCGAGGGGAGTTAACACACTGCAGTCCTTGGGCTGGGTGTGGCTCAGTGGTGGAGAGCTCACCGAGTATGTGCGCAATCCTGGGTCCAACCCCAGCACCACCAAAAGCCACAGTTGTAAATAAGATAGGAAAGGATGGTGTTCTCTCCCATAATATGTATTATTGATGTGTTAAAAGACAACTAAATTTTAACCAAAATATTGAAAGTGCTAACTGCTGCCAGCTCCAAGTGCAATACCACACCAGGCACAGTGGCCCTGGCCTGTGATCCCAGCAACTCACAAGGCTGGGGCAGGAGGATTGCAAGTTTGAGGCCAGCCTCAATAGCTTAGTAGACCCTTCTCAAAATTTTTTAAAAGTTGGAGATGGGGCTGAGGTATCAAAAATTTTTAAATTCATCACCACAGTTCTTAGCATTTCTGATTGTGGTAGGGTGCTTCAGCTGAGGTTCACACTGTGGAGTCAGGTAGCCCCTGTAAGGTGCAGTGGTGTGAGACTGGGAAGCTCTTTCTGTCCCAGCAGATCTGTTTGTGGGCTGCTTATCTAGCTGAAGCCCCTCTCACTCAAGTCGTCCCAGCCATAGGTGGCTTCGGACTTCCAGATGCAAGTTATAGCAAAAATCTTTAGTTTCACAAAACCCGTGTGTTATTTCTCAAGAAGCTCGCTGGTTTGGTTTTTGTTCGTTTATTTTAATTTTTTTCGTAGTTGTAGATGCACACAATACCTTTATTTTTTATTTACTTATTTTCCTGTGGTGCTGAGGATGGAACTCAGTGCCTCCATGTTCTAGGCAAGCACTCTACTGCTGAGCCCAGCCCAGCCCGATCACTGGTTTTGACGAGGTGATACTCAGCATCTTAGCCAGCACTGACTGACAGACGTGTAAGACTTCCTCACCTGTGCTGCAGCTGGTTTTATCTGTGTTTTCGTAAGGTCCATTGTTTTAATGGAAGGAAGAAGTACTGATGTAGTTCACTCGTGTAAAATTCAGTATGGATTCAGTGTTAAGTGTCACTACACTGAATTAGCAAGGCTGGTGCTTGATCCTCCACTAGCCTGTAAGCCTTGGTGAGCTCCCTTGGTGTTCCTCTGGTGTCTGGGGCTCAGCCGTGGGTTCTGAACAGGTCTTCAGGACTTCCCCGTGCAGAGGATCTGTGCAGTAAAGATGTGTTTTTTTCCCAAAAGTTAGCTCCCAATGCACCTTAAGGGGGTTAATAAGACTTTTTTGAAAATAACTGTATTTAACGTTCAGAAATAACTCAGGTAGGCAAAGTTGAATCAGATGTAATTTTTTTTTTATATTTATTTTTTAGTTGTAGCTGTTGACAGGACACAATATCTCTCTTTCTTTCTTTCCTTTATTTATGTATGTATTTATTTTATGTGCTGCTGAGGATTGAACCCAGGGCCTTGCACATGCTAGGCGAGGGCTCTACTGCTGAGCCACAACCCAGCCCTAGATGTGATCTTTACTGTCCTTACTTCCCATGATAAAGTGCACAGCAAAACAGTAAAAGATAATTCTGTGTCTCAGTCCTGTTTTTTAAAGAAGAAACCGGGTGCTTAAAGTGCCCCGAGTGGCACTGGTTAGCATGCCGGCCTGGGTAGTCGCTAATATCAGGTGAACTGTGAGCACACACAGGTGCCAGGCGTCTGCACCTCAGCCTCAGAGAGACCAGCCATGTGAGCATGGGAACTGCCAGGCAGGAGTCTCCTGGTGGTTGGGTTGAGCTGGGCTGGCCGACCCCAGCTCCCAAGTACCCGAGTCACCTGTTGCCAAGACCTGTGAGCAGTGAGACGAACAAAGCAAGCACCCCACACAGGTGGTCTGGGGTGAAAAGAGGCCACTTACAAGTGTGGCCACTGCATCCAGATAAAACTTCTGGAATTTCATCCTTGGAGAAAAGTCTCCCAATGCCCTTATTTTTTGAGCAGACTATTGGAATTGTGCAAGAAGTGTTTAGGTCATCTGCCTTTGTCAAAGACTCTGGATACAAGGGACGATTGGCTGACAAGTGGAGTGCCTTTCCTGGCACTGAGTCATGTCACTGTGAAGACCCCACTCGATAGAATGGAAAGCATCAAGTGTCCTTCCTTAAAGTGAGACCAGAGAGCTCTGAGCTCTGAGGGGCTCCTTCCCAAGGTCGTGGAGGCTGGTGGGAGCTGCCCCTTCCCTCTGAAGAGTGTGGCTGCAGGCACTGGGCTCATCGTCTTTCCTGATCTTCGGGTGTGTGGTAGAGCTCTGTCCAGCATCCTGCAGGTGTGAAGGCTCTGCTCAACCGAATGGTTTCCCCATTCTGTAGTGCCCGGCCCAGCTTTACACACTCTGAACGAGAAGTGTGTGCCCTGAGCAGATGCACCAGCAGCCCAGCAGGAGCGCTCAGGCAGCCTGGCCTCCAGCAGACCTGACCTCTGGAGCTCTTGTGGGGCACCTGGCAAGACGTCACGGGCTCTGACTGGCCTGGCCCTGGCATCTGTTGGGGGGAGCCCAGGGACATTTCCAACACACAACACCTTCCAGAGGTCCAGCAGAGAAGACCCTGCAGCCTCCTTATGTTGGAGCAGGCTTATCAGGGCCAGGGTGCTTCCCGCAACACCAGAGGGTAGATGCCTTAGTGAGCTGGTCTTCCGAACCACGGTGTGTGTTGCTTTGGGTTTTACCATAATTAAAATGATTCAGTGAAAAACTTTTTTAAGTGGCGAAATCCAGCTGCTCCTTTATCTCGTTTCTGGATGGGCTGTCATGAAGATGGCCTGGAGAGAAGAGATCCCCTGCCAGAGTCTGCTCATTGCAGACTTTTCCTGAAATGGTACTCTCGCTGAGTTAATAGAGTGAAAAATCCCAAAGGTGTCGTTTTAACCTTTTCTGTCCCAAGTGGGAAAGGGTCTGGAGGGTCTTTCTGGCTATGTATGGATCATATCATGACATGGATAGAAGGAACCTTGTTTTAGACACAAGGGAAGGGCCAGTAAATATTCGGGGGTGATTTTGCATCCATGAATCCCATGAACTTGCATTACTTAGCCCAGACTGTCAGGACGGCATGCTCTGGGCCAGGCGAAGGTGGGGCTCTGAGCCAGCAGACCTGACATGTCCCTGCCTGCTCCTGCACAGGCCATGAGGTCTGGGGTGCCAGGCACCCAGTGCCTTTCCTCTGCAGAGGTGAGAGCCATGCTTGTGAGCGCCAGTCCTCAAGCAGGAGGAAGGAGGCCCAGCATTCTGGGCTGGCTGGGTGGCAGTGTTTGGCAGTGGTAGCCTCCAAGACTGGTACCTGGGTACAGCGCTGTGGAATGGGCAGAGGCATATGCCTCCCAGGGTGAGGCTGAAGCTGGTTGGCCGGAGTGGGCATCTGCTTTGGGCACCCTGCAGGCTAAGGCAAGAGAGAGTGCACACCAGGGGACCAGACAGCAGAACTGAATGCCACGTTACTCTGTCCAGGTCACGCTCCCGGTCCCCTCGGAGGAGAGCTCACTCCCCAGAGAGACGGCGGGAAGACAGGAGCGTCCCCACTGCCTACCGCATGAGCAGCAGCCCCGGAGCCAGCAGGAAGCGGACTCGCTCCAGGTAGGCTGTTTGGGTATCCTGGGTAGAGGGGTCTGAAGCTGTGTCCACCTGTGTCACTAGCTGCCCAGGATGACGGCCATAGTCTCCGCAGCAGCACTGTCACTGGGAGCACTGGGGCCTCCATGGGGCTCTCGCACAGCCTAACTTGGGAGCTGGGTTCCCTCAGCATAGCCCTGAAGCAGGACCCACAGACAACGCCTGCCCCCTTGCCAGTGGCAGGAACAGAGAAGGAGGGGCAGACCTCCCAACATGGTGGCCTCGGGTCTCGTGGGGAGTTGGTGCCTGGGCAGTATATGACGGTGCCAGGGCTGAGGCTGCCGCTCCCAAAGGGACATTGTCCTGTGGGTGCCTCCTGAGCACTGATTCAGCTGCTCCTGGAGAGCCAGGCCAGTGTCCACGTTTAGGACGGCGGTGTGCTGAGCCCTGGCAAGATGGAGTCCCAGGTTCACCCCCAATGCCAAAAGATATAAAAACAGACGTGGAAGCCACCCTCCCAGACTGCCTCAGCTCGTTTCAGGCAGTTCTGCTCTCAGGTCAAGGACCCGAGGTAACAGCTTTTAAGAAAAGGTTGGGGCTGGAGATGTGGTTCAAGCGGTAGTGCGCTCGCCTGGCATGCACGGGGCGCTGGGTTCGATCCTCAGCATCACATAAAAAATTAAAGATGTGTGTTTACCAAAAACTAAAAAAATAAATATTTAAAAGAAAAGGTTTACTTTGGCTCACTTTGGGAGGTTTTAGCCCAGACTGTGGTGAGGCAGCACACAGTGGGAGTGCAGAGTGGAAACTGGGCCTCATGCCCCAAAGCAGAGGGTCCTCCCGTCCCTTCCAGGGGTGCCCCCCACCCCCCATAGGTCCACCCTGGTAAGCAGACCTTTAGCTTGTGGGCCTCTGGGGGGCATTCCAGCACTGAATGCTAGTGGCCCCCAGCAGTGGCCAACAGTCTCCTCCTGGCCACGGGGAGTGCTATCTGGGAACAGCCCCCTCCAGGGCTCAAGCTCATGCCACCTAGCTGATTGCCATTGTCCCAGGGCACATCTGGAGCCCAGTTGCTGGCCACCACCAGGGACAGCAGCGGGGAGTCTCCTAATAGATAGAACCTGAGCCCCTTTTCCTGAAGCGGAGCACAGGCAGAGGAGCTGGCAGCTGGTGGGGTCAGAGCCCTCTGACACATGCACTCTGGTTACGTTTTGTGCTGTGGTGATCTTGCCAGGTGTCCAGGCTGCCTGGCATGTGGAACTCATTCCTAAAGCCAGCAGTGAGCCTTGAAATTTATTACCACCTCAGACACGTGAGGAGAGGATCTAAAATCTATTCCTGTAGCAAAAGATCTCTGAACACAAGAGTTCTCACTTTGTCCTCAGCTTGATTTTTGCATTAAGAGGAGTGATGGACGGCGGTGGTTACGGGTCTGCCTGCACAGGTGGGAGGCCCAGGGCCTTCTGGTGTGGTCTCATGAGCTCCGCGGACCCCAGGACAGGGTTCTGGCGGCAGCCCTGCAGAGGGACGGCCCTCTGGACACCTCTACATTGCTGAGAGCTGGCATCAGAGCTCGGCAGTAGCTCTCCATGTGCCCCCATGTGGCCTGAGCTGTTCCTGTCTGAGCATGGTCACCTGGGGGCTGGTTTTTCAAGTGGCTTGCGAGCACCCCTGTGCCCACCTTCTGAGGCTCAGGCCCACACGCACCCCTTGCTCCCCCACACACCTGGATGTGTGTTGTGGCTTTGACGTGTTTGGAGAAGCCAGACCACAGCCTTGCCAGAGGTGCTCCTCCCATTCTGTCTCTGGCAGGGTGCTGCCCATGGTCTCCGCAGCAACCCTGCGTGGGTGCGGCTGTGCAGAATCCCTTGTGTCATCCCCAAGACACATGTCTGTCTGTCCCTGTCAGTGATGTAGAGTCAGGCCACTCTGCTGAAGTCACTCCCGCCTGCTTCTGGATCAGGGAGAGGTCTTTGGGGTGTCCTGTGGTCCTGCGGCACCCTTTGCCAGCAGCTCTGCTAGGGTTGCACTTGGATGGCGCCTGTGCAGGCAGGTGGCTGGGCGAGAGCAACTCCCGTTGCTGCTCACCCTTCTTCCTTAACCAGCGTGATGTCACCGCAGGTCCTAGGCCTGGGGTCTGTCGTCCTCGCCGGCCAAGTGGGTGCCCCGGCCCCTTGTACTCTTGGATGGTGCGTTGTTTCAGACTGGGCCGGGGGGCCCTGGACCCGTCCCTGCCTCCTTGGACACGTCCTCCCACTGCTCTCCAGGCACTCTCCTGCTTTTTGGCCTGAGCTGTTCCTGGTGCTTCCTGCCTGCACCCTGGGTCAGCCGTCCCGGGGAGAGACTCCTTGTAGTGATTAGTGGAAGTTCACACCTGGGCCAGGTGGAACAGTATTCATAGGAAGTGTTTTGAGCACACTGTTTACGCCTCTCTCACAGGGATGTTGGTGAAGTCACTTCAGCAGGGAGTCGAGGCTGCCTTATTAAAGCAGGTAACAGATGACAGTGATGGTGCTTTGTCATTGAACCTGCGGGAGGCTGTGTGCTTGGCCCACAGAGGAGTGCTTGGCCAGCAAGTGCAGGACCTGGCAGCTGCCAAGGGGCCTCAGGTCATGAGGCCCTCCTCCCTTGAGGCAGCTTGATAATGGAAGGAAGTGTCGTCCCCAGAGCAGCAACCAGGAAGTAGCCAGGAAGCCGGGGGTAGGGAGAAGCAGGGCCACAGCCCTGGGAGCCACAGCACTGTGGCAGCCACCCTGAGCCCAGTGGTCTCGGCAGGTCCAGGAGGTACAGGCAGGTTCCTTCACCACGTACCACGCCACAGACCCTTAAAGAACCTGGAGAATCCCAGGCACTTGAAAATTCAGCCATATAACTCTACGGTCACTTTTGATGGAAGAAAAAATTACAAGAGCAGTTAAATAATTACCTTTTCTAGTACTGGGGATTGAACCCAGGAGTATCCCCAGTCCTTTTAACCAGAATCTCACTAAGCTGCCTAGACTGCCTTCAGGACTGGATCCTCCTGCCTCAGCCTCCCACACCCGGTTGGAAGTCATTTATGTTACAAGAAAATAAAAGTGTAGAAGCAGTGATCCAGTTGAGCTTAAGAAGCCTGAAGAGGAGCTGGGCACAGTGGCCATGCCTGTTCTCCCCGTGCTCAGGAGGCTGAGGCAGGAGGATTGAGAGCTCAAAGCCAGCCTCAGCAACAGCGAGGCACTAAGCAACTCAGACACAATAGGGCTGGGGAGGTGGCTCGGTGGTCGAGTGCCCCCGAGTTCATTCCCTGGTACCAAAAACAGGAGCTGAAAAAGGAACAAATCAAACTCAAATAGAAACAAGAAGGGATGCAAGAAAGACCAGAACCAGAGATGGACAGAGCCCTGGAAGTGTCCGGAATGGGAGACGCTGTGGGACAAGGAAATGAAACTCACCGAGTTAATTCAGCAGCTTAGATAAAGTAAGTTCCTTAAAGGAACAGATGACCAAACTGACACCAGCAGAAGCGAGTCCCCTGGAAGTGTCACATCTGCCGAGCTTTCCACCAGGCCCCAGCCAGGCAGCCTCCCCAGCAAGACAGTCAAGAAAGGAGGGGACGAGTGCCTTCTCGGGAGCCCGGGTGCACTTGCAAGGGCTGGGCGCTGGGCTGGCTCAGGCTGAGCAGGTGCCTGGCCTGCACGAGGGCCGGGTTCCATCCTCGGCGACCAACAGCAGGAGTGGGGAGGGGAGGAGGCAGGGCCTTCCCAACACACTGGCAGACACTGACAGAGCTCTCCTCCCCAGAGTGACCCACAGACCCAGTCCAGCTTGAGCAAATACCCCGAGCTTTTTGTGGAAATTGTCACAGAAACCCTAAAACTTGTATGGAAACACAAAGGACCAGGAAAAGCCAAAACAATCTGGGAAAAGAATAAAAGTGAAGGACTTTGACCTCAGATTTCAGAAACTACCAGAAAATACAGCAGTGTGGGCAGTGTGGTATCAGTATGAAGGTGTGCAGAGGGAGGAAGTCCAGGAGACTACCTGTATGGCCACGATTGTTACCCAAGGTGCCAAAACTATTCAGGGAGGACAGGAAAGACCTTCCCACAAAATTTGCTTGGACAACTACGTGTCAGAATGGGGGAAAAAAAAATACCCTGCCCAAAAGTCACTTCAAGGGGGATCGCCATACTGGACATAGAAACCAGAATATCAAGCTTCTGGAAGAAACAACACATGTGACTAAGGCTCCTTAGGATGTAGAGAATGATGATTATGAGGAAAACCTGTGAACCCACTGAAGGTGAAACTTCCCCTAGGAGGCACAGTTGGGACGGGTGGGCACAGTGGCCATGCCTGCATGCCCAGCGACTCAAGGGCTGAGGCAAGAGGATGGCAAGTTCCAGGCCAGCCTGGGACACCTAGCAAGATCTTGTCTCCAAGTGTTAGGAAGGGGCTGGGTTTGCAGCTCGGGGAACTGGGTTCAATCCCAGGGCCACAGATGTGAACCGGAAAGGAGAAGGAAGGGAGGGCAGGCCCCAGACTGGGAGGAGAGCAGAGGCCTCACTGATGCTTCACAGGACAGCATGTACGGAGCCCATGAGTGCAGGGGAGGTACTCGGTCTCTTCGGTCACCCAGAAAGTGCCCTGGAGACCAGGGCGGTGTCCGCTGTGTTGGTGGACTGGACTGGCTTGGTGATGTAGCCAGGATGTGCTCAGTGGTGCTGCCAGGCACAGCTGGCAGGCAAAGAGTGCACTCACACACACCCCCCACAGCCTCGCTGCCCATTCCAGGCACTGACCACACAGCAGCTCACAGACAGCTCCTCCGGCTATCACAGGAAGGAGAAGGAACACATGGCCCTGTGGCACTGCTCAGGCTGGGCCTCAAAATGCTGCCCAGCAGACCTGCAGGAGTCCATGCTCGTGGCTTCAGGCCATGGTGCGCAGCAGAGGCCAGCTTAGGGGTGGAGTGGGCACAGACTGGCTCCCCTGGACAGTGGGGTCTGGTCCATGGCTTGGGCTCTCCACATAGCACATGGAAGACCCTGCCCATGGCCACGAGCACCCTGGTGGTGTCAGAAGTGAACCATCAGCTTTCCTCCTGTTGGAGACTTGCCGTGCTCACGGCCCCTTTTTCTTTCTGGTGTGGTGCTAGGGCTTGAGCCCAGGGTGAGTGCCCGGCAGGTACTCTGCCACTGAGCCAGAGCCAGCCCAGAAGCCGCCTTTCAGTCATTCTGCAGCCACGGAGAGCAGCCCGAGTTGGGGCTCAGTCGTCTGGCCCTTGGTCACGTGCTGCAGTGTTAAGTGGCTGTCAGCAGAGAGCCCCGGCCCACAGCATCCAGCACCAGCATCGGCTCTTTCTTCCTTTTGGCTCCAGGCACTGTGCCACCCAGCCTCAGCCCCTGCCCTCTTTATTTTTTGTTTTTTGAGACAGGGTCTTGCTGGTTGCTGAGGCTGGCCCAGAGCTCACTGTCCTGCACCTGCCTCCTGCGTTGCTGGGAGGGCAGATGTGCACGCCGTGCCTGGCCACCATGCCTCTGCAGCCGTGCCACCCCTGTGCTGACTGTGCTGCAGGCTCTTGCTGCAGCGTGGTGGCCCCAGGCCTGGCCATCACTCTGCTCCATCCCGGACACTGCCAGGGAGCCCAGGCTGGCACATGGGGGGCCCTATGCTGCCAGAGCTCCAGAAGCACTGCTGGTGCTCGTGGCTTCCAAGTGCCTCAGGCTGGTGGCCCTGCTGGGCCACCTCAGTGGAGTCGCATGCTGCAGACTGTGAACTCTGCTTGTTGTTGAACAGAAACAGCCCGAATGAGGGGTGTGACTTGGAATGAAGTGGGTTCTGGACGACCCCTGGGGTCCTTCCCTGCAGGGTGGGGTGGCCACATTGGGAAGGGCCCCGTGCCGTGCTGAGTCCCCAGGGAGCCAGGCAGCCACACTGTGCCAGCAGTGGCCCCAGGAGGGACAAAGCCAGACAGCGAGGTGCTGCTGCCCCTAAACCCTGTGGAGACCCCGTGGGCCACCAGGAGGCAGCATAGGAGGGACGGTGGGAGGGATGAGCCAGCCTGGGCAATGAGTGATGTCCCTGCAGAGACTCTGAGGGTGCTGAGAGAAGGCCTGGCCTCCAGGGAGGACCAGGGGCGCTGTCCATGCCGCACATTGCCTTTACCAAAAATATGACCTCCCTGTCTTTTTCAGTGTTTCTCAAGTCATAGAAAGGGTCCCAGGACACAGGTGTGGGAGGGACTGAGTCCAGCCCAAGCTGCGGGAGGAGGTGCAGGCAGGGGGTCTGGAAAGCCTTGCTGCTGACATGGAATTGTGGGGGTTTGGGGACTTATCTTCTGTGGAAAGCAGGAGCAGTGCTCAGAGCCGAGCTGGGCACTGGATGTGGCTGGGGCCCCCCAGGGAGTGGGCCCAGCAGCCTGCGCCTACCTTTCTCCAGGGACATGCCCCAAAACTGCCATCCATAAGAAATGCCAGGCCTTTGTGTCTACAATACTTGACTTTAATGACTTTCCATATATTTTTGGAAATTCTCATTAAATTGGCATAAGTGAGAGAACAGCATAGATGGAGGGGTGGCCGTCAAGGGCCTCTCAGTGCAGGTCAGATGCTGACTACACCTCAGATGCCAGCTTCGTGCCCGAGGCCAGGCTGCCTGCTGGAGCAGCTGCTTTGCACACCTCCCTAAAGCCTCGCAAGCCAGGGGTCCATCCCTCTGCCTGGTTGCAGGGTACAGTGCCCCACAGACATGTGTCGGGCCACATGCAATATGGGTCTCTCACCAGGGCACTTTCCTTTCAGAAGTCCCCATGAGAAGAAGAAGAAGAGGCGGTCGCAGTCACGGACCAAGGCTAAGGCGCGGTCACAGTCAGCGTCCCCGAGTAAGCAGGCGGCACTACGGCCTGCAGCCCACTCAGCACACTCGGCCAGCATCTCTCCTGTGGAGAGCCGGGGCTCCAGCCAGGAGCGCTCCAGGTGATCTGCCTCCGGGCAGTGCTCAGTGGGAGAGGGTGGGTGGCAGGCGGGCCTAGCCCCAGGGTGCATCTGCTGATCCCAGCCCCTGCTCCCCGGGCAGAGGGAGGTCCCCAGGTGGCCCCAGCTTAGTGCCAGCAGGGCAAGTGACCTCTCAGGACCCTGCTGCAGGGGAAGAGTACCTGTGCACGCTCCTGAATGCTAACTGGCCAGTCTTGCACCTGCCTTTGGGAGCAGGTCCCAGCATGGTCCTAGGGACGGAAAGAACCACCACTGGGGGTCTGCAGCATCCAGGGAACTCAGGGCTCCTGTCGCCACAGCACCAGTCACAGGGGTCAGGACTACTAGCCTCCCCACCAGTCGGCAGTCCAAACTGGTTGTCAGGGTACGAAACCCTGGCAAGACCCAGTGTCCCTGTCCAGGACGTAGTGATCCTCAGGTGAAGGCAGACCTCACATGAGGCAGCTGCTCTTGTTCAGGTAGCAGCAGTCAAGATCCCTGCCACACCCCACACCCAACGGGCTGGGAAGGGGTGTGTGGCACTGCGGCTCACGCCTGGCGTGGAAGGCACAGGCAGCTTTCCCATGTAGGGAGCAGTAGCCACAGGTCAAGTGCAAGAGCCTGGGCCAGGGCAGGTCCAGGAGTCCCCGAGGTCCCCGTGGAGGCTCGGCCTGTCTGCTGGCTCCCATGTTTCTCTGGTCCCATGTGTTTACGTAGCGTCTCCTGAGAATGAATTCCAAACTAGTTTCCTTTTACAAACGCTGTATAAATGCTTGACTGTGTGGCCCGCGTGGCCCTGGTGTTCAGGAGAGCGGCCCTGCTTACCCTGGGAAGCCGGCCTGTGAGGGCGCCCACCCACAGTGTCCTGGGCCCCACACTACAGGGTAGGTTCAAGCTCTGGTCCCTCTCTTTGCTTTAGGGGCGTTTCTCAGGAAAAGGACGGTCAGATCTCTTCGGCAATCGTTTCTTCCGTGCAGAGCAAAATAACTCAGGTAAGTCGGGCCCTTGGGCCTCTGTCCTCCTGGTCTCTGGAAAGGGGCCTCGTTTTTTCTCCCCTGACTCCCACTCCTGCTCCCACTTCACTCGTGCTGACCCAGGAGGGAGTCCTGGGCTGGTTGGTGTCTGGCTACGCAACATGCAGAGGCCAGGGCTGCAACACCATAGGACCCTCCCCCGATGGACCTGCATGAGGTCATGGCAAAGGAGACTTGGACGGAGGTCAAGGTTGAGAGGGGGCTTTGGCCTCAGTGCAGCCTGAACGTGCCCACAGCCCACACCCACCCTCCCAGGCCACCTCCAGCCAGTGTGCAGGCTCTACTCCCCATCCCCATGGGTCCGTGAACTCCCCGCCCAGTGGTCAGGTCCCTGTCTCACCCTGTGCAGGATCTCATGGCCAAAGTCAGAGCAATGCTCGCAGCTTCCAAAAACCTGCAAACCAGCGCCTCCTGAGGCAGCGGCTGTGGAGCCAGCCTGCCGCACGACCCGGAGCCCTGTATGGCCCACAGCTCGGAGCCACCGCCGCGGAAGTCGGGAGTGGAAGAGCTTGCTGCTGGCAGGCCCGGGGCAGAACCGTCCAGGCTCACCGCCCAGGACTCTGGGGACAGTTGGTGGCTTTTGTAAATTAATTTTTGATGACGTTTTCAGTTTAAGATTTTTGACCAGCAGTCTCTTACTTGTATATTTGTAAATAATATCATGTTTCTGTGAAAATGTATTATCAAATAAAATGGAAGAAACACCTTTTCTAGCTGGCAGCCTGGAGCCGTGTCTGCCTTCTTGGGCTCACAGTGCCCCTTCATGAGCTCTGCCTCCTGGCGGACGCTGTGTAAGTAAGACAGCTGGGCTCGCCTGTCCTGCCCTGCTGCCCTCCCGCAGCAGCCACTCATGACCTGCACAGCCTCAGTGAGGCACCTGGACCCCACCTGGACGCAGTCAGCCTCTGGGCTGTGTGTCCTCACGCAACAGGCTCGGCAGTGCTATTGGAGAGCCCGGGTGGTGGCGATGTCACACGGTGCAGCCCTTAAGACACCAGCTGCCCAGAGACACCCTGTACTGTGCTTCGGAAGCCCCACAGGTTTGAGTATGCAGATGAAGGTGCAGGTTTGTGTGTCCCTCGCTGGCCAGGACCCACGTGTCCCCCATGTGCTTCGTAGGGCATGCTGCATGCGTCCCCACATAAGCCATCTCTGCCACCAGGATCACTGAGCACAGGGCAGGCCCTGAGGTGCCCACACAGGAATCCCTGCCTCCCACACAGGGCACGAGCCTGGCCTCCCCTGCGTCAGGATGGCAGGGTCTCCTGCTGAGGGTGCAGCTGCAGGTGCTGTGTGTAGAAGCTCTTCTGCATCCTGCCCCACCGGCCAGCCTCGCCCCATGGGGGGCTCACCTGGGGTGGTGCGCACCCTGTGCCCCTCAGCACCATCCTCTGCAGAGGGCACCCGGTGTGGGCCAGCACCGGCGCTCCTGCTGGGGAAACGATGCTCAGGAGCCATGTCGGCAGGACCCTGCTTCTCACAGGCACCTGCTGGCCGGTCTTTGGCGGGAGCAGCACGGAGTGGTGGGAACAGTGGTAGTCACATGGGACCCTTGGGACGCGCCAGTTCCCGTCTGTCCTGCTGGGCATCCTCACTGGGGTCGAGCCTGCCAGGTGGCGCTCACTGTGCCTCGTGGTGTGCCCGTTGCAAGGTGTCCAGGATGCTGGGGGAGGCCACAGGGCAGAGGAAGCCTTAGATGGACTGGGGGGTCGGGTCTTTGTGAGCAGCATCACTGCAGGAGAGGAAGGGTGAGGCCCTGGGTGGTGGCCTCCGAGTCCTGGGCCCTCCTGGACACGCCCTTGCTTGTCCACGGCTGCCTTTTGCTCTGAGTTTTTAAGTCAGCGGCTCTGGCTCTGTCACTGCAGCGCCTGCCCTCCACAGCATCTGGGGGTATGAGGGTTGGCCCTGGACAGCATGGGGTGGGGGCAGCCATGGGGTGGCAGCATCTGCCATGTGCTTCCCAGCCTGTGTCACTTGGGTCACCAGGGAGGCCCTCCTGTCCCCTCCCCTGGCAAGTCACTGCCATTCTGGGTGGCCCACCGAGCCCCTGCAGAAGACGAGTCCCAGCCCTTCTCCTTTGGACTCCATTCGGGACTCGGGTCCTGGAGAGCAGCTTTCAGCTGGCACGGCATGGTCCCTGGCTAGCAGTGGCGACGGGGACAAGCCCAGAAGAAACTGGTGCTGTTACCGCACAGGGGCCACCCAGGAGCCCACAGCTTTCCCAGGCTCCACGGCACAGGGTTGGTGGCCATCATATGCCCCTAGGCTGGGAACACCAGGGGTGCCAGACACCCATTCTTAGCAGCAGCATGACGGGCCTCCTGGCCTGCTCCATGCAAGTCCATGCCAGCCGCCTCCGTTGCTTGGGCTGTGCAGGGTCCTCTGGAAAGGACAGCCCACACGTCTGTGGCAAGCAGGAGTTCCTGTCAGCGACAGGAAGAGCTGCTTAATCACAAGTCCACGAACTGCTGAGCAGGGGCACCTGGGGTGCAGAGGCAGAGGACTTGAGAAGGCACTTCAGAGGGTCCTTGCTTATCTGGATTTCAGACTGGAGCTGAGGGGCCTCCACATCCTCCCCTGGACAGATAGTGGATTGTTAGGCTAAGGCAGAAATACAGCCAGGCTGTGCCCTTGCCAGTGTGGACCACATTCCCTGCAGGTCCTCCCAGGTCCACGGGGTGCAGAGCAAGGGCAGACTTGCAATGGCAGTACTCCTTTTAGGTCCCTGGAGCCCTGTGAGCAGCTCTGCTTTCCTGGTGTGCCCAGTGTCTAGGAGGGCAGCACACCTGGTAGCCTGGGAAGCCGCTCCACACTGCCACGGGCCCCACCCAGCAGGTCGTGCTGAGCACATCCTCTGTAGCACGCCTACTTCTGGGAAGTCAAATGGGGAGACAAAACAGGGCCTGGTGGCCCACGCCTGTCATGCCAGCAATTTGGGAGGCTAAGGCAGGAGGATCACAAGTTCAAGGCCAGCCTCAGCAATTTAGCAAGAACTTTTTTCAAGATCTTTAAAAGGGCTGGGAGTGCGGCTCAATGGTAGAGTGCTCTTGGGTACAATCCCCAGTACGGCCCCACAAAAACATTGGCAGGACAGTCCACACGCTCACACGCCTCTCCGAACCCCAGGAGCAGCAGGCACACCCAACTCCAGGTCCTGGTTTGCTGGGAGCCATTAGCCAAGTAGGTATGACAATTTCCTTGCCAGCGTACCCCATGTTGCTGACATGTTGCAGCGACATTGAATGTAGGTGACCTTGCTCAAGGACCAAGGCAGATTAGGGTGTTCCCGGTTTTAAGATAATCGTGTTTAGGGCGTTCCCAGTTTAGGTTCCAGGTTTAAGGTTTAAGATTATTCCTGCTGGGAATAGGGCGTATCCTGCTGCCTGAGTTCCCCTTGAGTTCTCACGGGATTCAGACAGTATATTTGGGAGATAGAAGCCCAGTGGAGGTGGATTTGGGCAGAGAACGTGGATTTCCCCAGAACGTGTTTGTAGACGGCTGGTGTGAGTTCGGGAATAAAGAGTTGCTGTTTGAATCTACAAGCTGTGTGGTGGCTCGTGATTGTGTGCCCAGCCAGACTGCGGCATTTGTGCCCAGCCAGACTGTGGCACTGGTTCCCAATTCCACCCTCCAGAAGGAGCCCAGGCCTTGGAGGAGTGGCTGGTCCCAGGCTGGGTGGGAAAGGCCCCAACAGGTCAGAAGTGCCCACAGCGATGACATGTCAGGGAACAGGAGCCGGGGGCTCCACAGCCAGAGCAGGGCAAGGACCACAAGGTGAGTTCTCCGTGCCGGACTGAGCCCTGAGCGTCCTGTGGAGGGACGCCCTGGGAGTCGGTCTCCAGTTTGAACACTGCAGTGCTTGCTCAGACGTTACGAGAACTGGGTGTCACTAGGGGACAATCTAAAGGGACCACTGGAGCACATGCCGTCCAAATGAGCCAAGTGGGTCTGGGTGGCATGAGGCTGTACCCTGCCCGCTGTGCTACCCTGGAGGCGTCCTTGCCCGTAGGCTGTGGGGCAGCCCCCAGGAGCACACTGGAGAGAGTAATTGAGTGGGTAGAGACACCCAGACGCCCCTGCCAGGTGGTCCAGCAGTACCAGCCCCATGAGCTGTGGCCACTGCCAGCTGACTGTGAGAGCATCGGGCCCCAAAGGGACCTTGCACAGAACCCCAGAGGAGCCCAAGGGACATGACGACTTGACCTCCTGTGTCCTTGGCCCTGTGGGCTTCAGTTGTGCCCAGGATCCTGTGGTAGGGCAGCTGTTACAGAGGAAGGGAGCGTCCTTTGCTGTCCCCAGTGTTGCTGTAACTCAGAAATTCATTGTATCCAGGTGCAGTGACTGCACGCCAGTAATCCCAGCAGCTTGGGAGGCCGAGGAAGGAGGATTGCAAGCTCAAGGCCAGCCTCGGCAACTTAGTGAGGCCTGTCTCAAAAAGCAAAGCAGGCTGGGGTTGAGCTATGTGGTGGAGCCCTGGGTTCAATCCCTGGTACCAAAGGAAAAAAACTTACTGTGAGAAACAAGCGGCACGCAGCCATCCACATCCTCTGAAGCTGCGCCCTTGGGTGCCTTGTCCCTGGCCACACCAACGCAGGACCTGCCTGATGGCACCACAGGGGAGCTTCCCTGCCTTTCTCCTCACGTCCTTGCCTGCAGCCCAAGGTCCCGAGGGCAGGGGGCAGGATGCTGGTGGCTGCAGCCGTGAGCCAGCCTTTGCAGAGCACCCGCTGGGCTCCGTCTCCGCCACCACCCGGGCTCCCATGATTGGACGTCGGGGCCAACTTCCCAGCATGTTGTGGGACCGACACTCATGACTTCTCTGAAATAGCTGGAGTGGGGAACTGAGGCTACAGGGACAGCATCTGATGGCCTCAATGAGGCTGCTTCATAGAGTTTCTTCCTTTCTTCACTGTTGTTCTAGGGGAGACACAGGAGGCTGATCTAAGGACAAAAGTGACGGCGCTCACTTTCCTGCTCAGGCTTCTGGGTTGAGAGTGCGGTCCGCCATTGCTCCAGGGCTGCAGATGGGGAGGGAGGAAAAGGGCCTGTGACTGGCCCACTGGCCTATCCCATGAGCCTCTCAGGGATGGACAGATTAGCATCCAAGGAGGCCAGTGGGGAGGAGCCAGGGAACCCAGCAGCTGGATGGACGGAGGCCCAGATCCTAAAGAGCCAGAAACAGGAGCACATGAGTGGCTGTGGAGTGCCATTCAGGAGGGCAAAGGGGCATGCTGACAAAGTGGGGTCCCACAACTCTGTCCCCAAGAGCTGGGGGCTCGAACTCAGGAATATGCCCAGAGAGATGTAGACAGCATTGTGGTCCAGCCACATGCGAGCACTACACCACCATGAAGAGGTAGGAACAGGCCCAGCACAGCCTGGGACAGCCCCAGCACAGTGTGCCATGAGACAAGCCAAGTGCTGGAGGACACATCCAGCATGAGTCCACTTACAGAAGGCCCAAGAGCAGCAATTCCTGGGGGACAGCAGGATGGGGCAACAGGGGCTGGGGTGGAGAGCTGGCTTAATGGGGCAGAGCTTCAGTTTGGGAAGATGAAAAGCTCCCAGGGATGGCGGTGACAGCTGCCCCCGTGTGCCACCACAGCACTCAAAAATGGCCCCAAAGCAGCTGTGTGCTGGGCATGTGGACACACCTGTGATCCCAGAAGCTCTGGAAGCTGAGGAAGGAGGATCAGGAGTTCAAAACCGGCCTCAGTAAC